GACCCCATGTGGGTCCGCCCATGTTGTGCTCACTTTCTAAGGTTGTGCCCGTGACCAAGTCCATCAAACTTTTTGAGTATTAAAACAATGTCACTCTTCAAGGGGTATCACATAAAATTAGGCATATATTTTATGACTAATTATCAGAAAGTAGACAAGAGTTAGGTAAGATATATACAATTACTGGGAAGGTTCAACTAACAAAAATTATTAATTTTCTAATATTCACATATATAAGTAATCTGACATAGCCGGCATTCAGTAACAGCGAAACTTCCGTTTTATATGGTAAACGGTCTCTTTATAATATTTTTCTCGTGTGTATAGAAAGGCGGACCCGGGTCCAGGGGGCACGTGTTTTTTTTATATATATAAAATCACGTTTGATATCGATTGAAATTTAAAATTTAATCTAAATCAAAGTTAACAATTAATTTTAATAACATATTTTATGAAATCCGTAACTATTTAACTTTCATCAAAATTTAATAAAAAATTGATTTTAATCTCCATCAAACTGGGGAAAAATCACAATAAATTTGAATTTTGATAACATGCTAATTTTAAAAGTTCTCCAACGATCATACACTAATTGAATTTACAAATTGCTTATATCATTTCAAAACTTATTTGGAGAACTATATTATGAGCATATCAAATAGTCAAAGTAGATATCGAAAATAGTTAAAAATACGTTAAACGTGAGTTTTAAAGAATGACGTCCAACTCGCATTTAAAAAAAAAATCAATTATTTTATTAACATTTATTATTTTTGCAATCGAAAAAGTCATATCTATGTAAATTTTAGGATGCAAACTTAAATGTGATATATTTTTTTGGACGTAAATTTTCGATTGTAAAATTTCTCTCAACTTTTTATCAAATTCGATTGTGCCCTCTAACTTTAAACTTCTGCGCCCACCTCTGGCAGGCTTCATTTAAATAGTTTGGCCATTAGTTTGGGTTTTCTATTATTTACATTAAAAAAATAAAAATCACTAAATTATTTACTAAATTAATATTCTGCATCCTTGTGAATTTATTGACCTAACTTTAAAGTTGACGTAAAATGCCAATCAACTGAAGAAAGAAAAGTGATTCCGTTCCTCAAACTCTAGCCATTTCGATTTTTGCACGAGTTAGATAATTCATGCATCCACTTACAATCCCCTATAAATAGGTGATGTAGTTATCCATTGCACATACTCTTCACAGCTCTCAAAGCATTCAAGTTACCCTATTTCCAACTAAGTGCCTTTCACTTTTTGTAGTAATGAATAGCCAAAGCAGCCTTGTGACCGGTGGCGCAAATGCAACGGCACTTTCAGATTATTCCGGCAGTGGCCAGGCGGGCAAATACACCCAGGACAAGATCCTGCGCTCTGATTTCCCCAAGGATTTTATCTTTGGTTCTGCAACATCAGCTTATCAGGTATGTGTTTATGTAATTGTTTATGTATTCATTTAAATGTCACATATGAAAGTACATATCTCTTCTTTTCTTTTCTTAAAATCATGATTGAAGGTTGATTTGTTTTCTTTACGATGTAATTCAGGTTGAAGGTGCTTGGGCCACAGGCGGTAAAGGCCTGAGCAACTGGGATGCCTTCACACTGAGAACTCCAAGTCTCTTCTTTGCCTAGTCTTTGTACATAATTACATACATGCATATACACAACAATATGTTTATATGTCAATTCATGAGTATGTTTATTGGAATGGCAGATAAAATTGAGGGTGGAACTAATGGCTGTGTTGCTATTGATCAATATAATTCGTTCAAGGTAATTAATTAATTTCACTGCTAGAGCACAATGTTCAAGACAACTTTAAAAAAATATTCCTACATAGTGGAACAACATCTATTCATTTTCTACAATGTTACAGGAAGATGTGGCTTTAATAAAGAAGGTGGGCTTAGACTCTTATAGGTTTTCAATTGCATGGACTAGAGTATTGCCAGGTATATACATATATGAGAGCATGGAGAAATGTAATTAATTTGTTTATCGTCTGTCAAAAAACAAGAAATATGATGAAGTTTTTTCTAATTTTTTTCTTACTGGCATTTAGGAGGAAGATTATCTGCCGGTGTAAGCAAAGAAGGAATTAAGTACTATAATGATCTTATAGACTTGCTCTTGGCCGAAGGTTAATTAGACTTCACTACAAAAAATAAATTTTTTTTTTTCTTTTCGTTTTTTTTTTTTTTTAATTTTCATTTTGAAAGATACAAATCTAACCTCTTGATTCTTATGTTCTTTTGTGTAGGCATTAAGCCATGTGCAACTATCTTCCATTGGGATGTTCCCCAATGTTTGGAAGATGAGTATGGTGGCTTTTTAAGCCCTCGAATTGTGTAAGTAACCGAATCTTGCATAAAAGGCACATTTTCTTTTGATATTTGCAAAAGCCTATATATAAGAAAACAGTGCAAATTCAATCAAGTTTATATTTTTAAACCTAATGAAAACAAGAAGCCCTGCCTTTGGATATTTGTATTATCAGTCAATATCTTGTATACAAATTGAATTTGGTCCTACTAAATTATTACCAGGAAAATAACGTTAATCATATATATTTGTATTTTAAATTTTTTTTGTCTAATTAATAGGAAAGATTTTTGTGAATTTGCCGAGCTATGCTTTTGGGAGTTTGGTGATCGGGTAGAATATTGGGTCACATTAAACGAACCATGGTCCTTTGCTGTTCAAGGATATGCGTTGGGTACTTTTCCACCTGGTCGTGGTCCAACTCAAGCAGAGACAGTAACGGCTATCCCTCGTCATAGATGTAAACTTGGGGCTCCAACTGAATGCTCCAGTGGAAATCCAGGCACAGAACCATACATTGTAGCACACCATTTGATTCTTTCTCATGCTGCAGCAGTTGATATTTACAAGCAAAAATATCAGGTACCATTAGCCATAAATAACATGAAAGAAACTTTATATACAACTTGGAGACTTGGTATTTCACACAAAAACATATTTGCAGCCATATCAAGAAGGCAAAATAGGAGTAACAAATGTCGCTCAATGGTATGAGCCACTCACTGACACCACAGCAGATAAAGAGGCTGCTTCAAGAGGCCTCGATTTTATGTTGGGATGGTAAATGGTTTTGCTCATTTTATCTTTTATTCTGTTTTGGTCCTTATACATTATAAAAGTCTCAAGTCTTAATATCACACTTCCATTCCCCTTTTCAGGTTTGTAGCACCTGTAGTCACTGGTGATTACCCACCATCTATGAGAAAATTAGTTGGAGATCGTCTTCCCCAATTTACACCGGAACAAGTGAAGTTGGTGAAAGGATCATATGATTTTCTAGGGATAAATTATTACACTAGTACTTATGCTAGCAATTCACCTAGGAAACCTGGTACACCAGTAAGTTACGGAAATGATCAGGATGTTGCAGTATCAAGTAAGTATATGGATATTGTTCATGTATGGTTATAAATTAACCTTACTACATGGAACTCACTCTCACAATCTTTGTAGGTGAACGTGATGGGGTTCCTATTGGTCCTAAGGTATGCCTTTCAACATTAAATTTTCTTAGAATGAAAATAAAAATAAAAATAATAGATTGGATAATCCCTAAAGTTATGCTATACCATATTTTCATTCAAGATAGAGCAATTTCAACAATCTATCGTAGTGGATCATCGTGTCATAATTGCCACCAATAATTAAATTAATACGCTTTTATTTAAGTGCTTATATAATATTATCATTTTTTTGCTGATATCAGGGCGGTTCAGATTGGTTGTACATTGTTCCGTATGGGATTTACAAGTTGTTGGTTGAAATAAAGAAAACATATAATAACCCTACCATTTACATTACAGAGAATGGTAATTATATAGCATGTTTATTTTCTTTTTTCCATAATATTTACAAATTTTAATGGGATCTATTTGATTATTTGATTTGTGTAGGGGTGGATGAGGTAAATAATCCAGACCTAACAGTTTCAGAAGCTCGAGTTGATGAGACGAGGATTAACTATCACCAAGACCATCTCTTTTACATTAAGAAAGCAATGGAGTAAGTCATCATTTGTATAATTTAGTATCTGATCTCGAAGCAAATTATAAATTATGAAATTGTTTGACTTTTTTGTTATAAAATAATCTTTTCTTTCATTTACAGTGAAGGTGTAGATGTGAAGGCTTATTATGTATGGTCAATGTTCGATAATTTTGAATGGGGTGCAGGATATAGTGTTAGATTTGGCCTTTTTTACGTAGATTTCGTGAATGGCCATTTCACAAGATTTCCCAAAACCTCTGCTATATGGTTGACGAATTTCCTGAACAAGAAGCAAGTTACATTGAAGAGACAAGCTCAAGAAGAAGATGTTGGTTCTGTGAAAAGGCTCAGAAGCCGTAAAGTATAAGATTAGTCTCGTCATGTTTCATGTGAACTGTTATGTTTGAGTTGTGACCTTTCTTCGTGCATGTGTTTTCCCTTTTTTTTTCACCTCTTGTTGTGGCCTTTCGTGTTGTAACTTTCTACTTTTTATATTAATAAATGGATTTTTCATCCTTTTTTTTATTATTAATACATTAATACACACAAAAACAAGGAAAATGCAAATTGTTAAGGAGGGCATATGATCTGTCCTCCAATTAAAGGAAGAGATAAAGGCAAATTGAAATAGTCTAACCCGACTGGGAGTTGAACAAAAAGAAAATTTCGATTTTAGTTCACGTGCGTCTTCATGCTCCTCATCCATCTTTCAACATGTTTTATAAAATTATGATTACTTTCATAGTAGCTCAGTCCTTTAGAATATATCAATCAAATGAAACATCTGGCGGTGCTCATCTTTTATTTATTTATTGTAAGTATACAATGAGTAGATTATTAAGACTAGAGAAATGTGCTGTAGATTGATAACACAGTTGTTCAATTTTATTTTTTTTAGTAGCTGATTTATTTTGACATAAATCATTTGTTAATCAAATAAAGTACACTGTGATCAATACTTCATTGAACACATAAATAGTATTAAGATCCAAACTGAGGACCTCGCAAAACTAATCTTTTTATAAAATTTGACATTTAACATATGTTAAATAGTTGGCCTTTTCAATTCCAACGCGTTAAAAATATTGTAAAATGAAGTTAAATGCTCGTCACATCATCATCCGTAAAAATATCTGTAATTGCTATCAATACAAACAACCTTATTGATTTAATAATTCCTCAATCTGTAAGGTTGCTAATGTTAGGCACTATTATGGATAACTCAAGGATTGAGGAGTTATTAAGTCAATCCAGAATCAGATACCTTATCCATTAATATTATATTCGACACCAACCATAGGATCTATAACATTATTCTTATCTTAGAGTTTTTACACTCAAAACCATATTTTGTATGGACTTCTAAGAAAATTGTTGTAGTTGTTTTCAATTATCATTACAAATTAATGCAAATCCCATCAATGGTGTGCCACAAAATAGTGTTTTCTTTTAGCATTATTGGAAGGAATAACAAGTGATTACTGTTTTGTGAGACATGAAAAAATTACAAGCACTCCATAGCATCAATATTTTAACATCAGAAAATATATCTTGATCTATAGTAATTAATTTTCACCAAGCAATAGTGTTTATATATGACAACAGCATGTTTTAAATAACCCCATTGTTTATTAAAAAAACACCTTATTGTAAATATTTTTAGTCAATCGAATTAAATTTGGTCATTAAATTATTGAAGGAGATAAATTGAAATCAAAAACAATTTTTTGATTTAATAATTTAATAAAAAACAAATGATATCAGAGCTAATGGTTATTAAGAGTTTTGAGTAGGATTTTTTTTCCTTTTTTTTTAAAGTCCTAGTGTAAAATGCTTATTATTATTATTATTATTATTATGAGTGGTGTTAGGTTATTTGATTTGACATGTTTATTGCTTTATATCTTTAAAGTAGATGTTTGTACATAATCAATTTTGGACCTAGAATTCCCGTTATTGTAATGTATTTTATTTGTTGCACTTTAGAAAAATTTGTAAGCCATATGGCAATAGGGTTTAGGGTATTCATTTTTTCTATTTCTACACTTTTATATCAAGAGAAAGGGATGAAGTTTTGGACTCCAAAATCTCTTACATTGCTGTTTTTCTTTGGAAACTTGGTATTTTGGAGGTGAAAAACTCATGGCTATGGAGGTGTTGGTTAAAAATATGTAAAGGAGAGGTAGGGCAAAAATGAGGTAAAACCTAGGTGAAACCACCAAGTGGCGATGGCTACAGCCACGATCGAAGTGGTAGCTGAAAACAGAACAGGCTGTCGGTGTAGGCACTACCGGCTACAACAGCTCCTTTTGGGGCCGCCGGCGCCATCGCCAGAAAAGTGGTTGTGGTGGTTCCTTGGTGGTGGTACTATGATTTGTCAAGTTAAGGTTTAATTTTAAGGTTTTGGGTTTTTATTTGAGAATTCGCATTCTTGTTGGGTAACGGCTTTTGTCTTAATAATTGAAAATAAAAAATAAATTGACCCAAAATATTGGACTTTTCATAGATTGGGCTACAAGGAAATTGAAGAATTGGGCCGGAATGTGGCCCAATGAAATGCTTTAATTCTTGTTGTAATTTAAATTCTTAGGATGTGCCATAAGTGATTATAATCCATTTAATTTCTCTTTTATTACTTTATGAATGATGAATGAATGGAGAATTATCATATGTCATGTAGATTAAATGAAACACCACTTGGTATACTAAAATCATATGCATTAGTATTGTATAATTTTTTCATTACTCTAAATTAATTCGAAGTGGTTGAAAAATTATAGTTAATAATTTAGTGCCATTACAATTGTTTATATTTGGCTGATTAATTATTAAATGAAAACATAACGATTCAAAATAATAAGTGTGATAAGGTTTATAGGCATGTATAAACTTATGACCTCCTCCGTTATCCAATGTTATTAAAATATATATGTCTAGTATCGAATTATATCGGTCTCCCTACAACAAGACTACGTTATTTTAGATTAACTGAATTTTGACCTTGAAACAGAATATTTTTAAAATGGAATAATGCGGTGACTATCCTATAGATAATATCTCGTATATTTCATATATTTTAAAATTATTAGCGGAGGTTATTACACTTGTATATGAATTTTTTGACGGATTTCCTATAGAAGGTTCCAACAAAAATATTCATAGGCCAAATAATAATTATTCCTCTTTTTTTTTTGAATTGTGGCAAGAGATCCTAACTCAATAAAATGAGTGGGAGGGTCCCAACCTTGCCAGCAACTGCATTGGCCTCTTATAAAGGGCGTGTTAAAAGTTGTATGGATTTAAGGTTTTCGATTAAAAATATAGTTTTGAGTCTATATTTGCATACTCATATACATACATCATACAAATATTATTGTTCATTTTATTAATACACTAATCATTAATTTTATAGAAAATATCGCTTAATCCATCATCATGATACTTAACAAAAACCAACTTGATGGAGAAAACTACGTTGACTGAAAAATGAATCTTAACATTATTTTTACCGCTGAAAAATACAAATTTGTTATGATAGAAGTTTGTCCCAAAGCCCCTAAAAATGATTTCTTGGAATCTCAAAAGACAGTATATGAAAAGTAGCGTCATTCTGATGAGATGGCCCGTTGCTACATTTTGGCATCCATGTCAAGTGTAATGCAACAGAAACATGAGAATATGGAAATTACTTTTGACATAATGGAAAGTCTTCAAGAGATACTTGGACATCAAATTCGACAAGCTGGACAAGCTTCCATTAGGGCAATTATAAACATATGCATGAAACCGGGCACATATGTGAGGGACCATATGTTAACCATGATTATTCACTTAAATGCTGTGGAGGTTTTAGGAGTTGGCATTGTACCGAGACACATAGTGACATGGTTCTGAGACACTTCGTGAAATGTTCTCGCAGTTTATAGTTGATTATAATCTACACAAGATGGACATGTCTCAGACGGAAATAATGAAAGAGCTCCAAAATGCTGAAACTGATCTCAAGGCCATAAGTGGAAATGCTANAACATGTTAATCATGATTGGTCACTTCAATGCTGCAAAGGTTTTAGGAGCTAACATTGATTCCGAGACGCAGATTGACATGGTCCTAGAGACTCTCCCTGAGATGTTCTCGCAGTTCATAGTTGATTATAATCTACACAAGATGGACATGTCTTTGACGGAATTAAAGAAAGAGGTCCAAAACGCTAAAATTGTTCTACAAGCCATGAGTGAAAATGCTTTGATTGTGATAATTTGACCCTCTCATCCTAAAACTTTTGGTGGCAAAGGAGAAAATAAGAGAAAGAGGCCAAACAAAAAGAAAGATAGCAAATCAAAAGGGAAGAAAACTACTGCCGATGGGAAACCAAAAGGAAAGTGTTTTACTTGTTGACAAAATAGTCATTGGAAGAAGAATTGCCCAAATCACCTAGCTAAAAGGAATGCAAGGTAAAGGCATTGCTCTGTTCATTGAGTCATGCTTAGTAGTTGATTCTACTAATATTTGGATTGTAGATTTTGGAGCCACTAATCATGTTTGCAACTCTTTGTAGTGGTTCCAAGTAACCAAGCACCTCAAAACATCATTTTTTTTCAAAATAATGGCCATCAAACGAGAGTTTAATTATTGCCCCTAATTTTATTTTATTATTTAATTATAAACTTAGCTGGGGGTTATATGGTCGTTATAGTCATTAAGGTTTTTCGTAGGATTCCCTTCTCTCACCTTTCTTTTGAATAGTGCGTTACAATATTCATAATGGTACAAATTGAAGTATCGATAAATTTACATCCTTCTTGCCTTATTTTGAAGAGCTTTTGGGCCAATTGGTGACCAAGAATAAGAGTGGTGTGGTGTTATCTAGGTAGGCCACAACCTCCATAGTCAGAAAGATGGAACGTATTACAGGGTTCAAACAACAGGCATTGACTTTTCTTTACGTGGGGACGCCACTCTTTAAAGTGAATCTTGCCATAAGTATAGAAAAATTATATAGAATGGGTACATGAATTTGAAATGGAGGGAATATATTCAAAATGGGAAGAGAGAGAACAACACACAGACGAACATGATGCTACCATTCAAATTTCTGTTAAAAATCTGTCAGTTATTCTCTATATTTGTAGCATTTTTCCTTTAAAGTAGCTAGAAAATGATTATTTGGTGGAATCTTCAAGAAATTTAAAGGGTAATAAAATATTGTGGAATCTTTTCTGTCATACCAAAACGACATAACGGGGCTTCTTTTGTTGTGTTGTCACTAATAGTTGTGCTTGTATCACAATATCCCGCGGCAAGAAATAAGGAATTCAAGCGAAAATCTGAAGAATACAAAAACTGGAATTCACAACAGAATAAAAA